CCCCAGCCGGCCCTGGAGGATTTCTGTAGCCAGCTGATGCCCGCACTGTTGATGGCTGCCTGTGTCTCTTGGCCTGAGGCCATTCTCTGGCCACAGGCACATGCTGTGTCCACAGACCAGTCAGGCTAGAAGGACTGAGGAGTAAAATGCCTCAGAAAGTCTCTCAGCCAATGATGGATGGGAGCTAGTGAGCAGAGGCATCACAAACCCGTGAGAAATTCTGAAGTATGTTCTTCTCTGGTTCTCAGAGACCCAGTGGGATTGAGTCCCAGGTGTCCATAGTGAGCCCATGCTCACTAACACCCTTCGAATTGTTTTCCTTTCCTCCACCTGCACCCAGGTTCTCTCTCAGGGTCTGCTTTGAGGAGACCCAAATGAAGACAGACGCCCATGTAAACATTTTCAATCAAGCTCTTTGTCAGGTTCCCAGACCACACACCAGTTAGTTGCCTGCAGGACACCTCCATCACACCCCCACCAGACTCCTCATTTCAGTGTGAACTTGCTTCTCCTACCTCCTCTGCTCTCAACTAACCATACAGGAATTCTCTTCTAAGATATCAATCTCCCTCCCACCTCAGGGATTAATTCAAGTGGCCCAATATGTTGCTTTTTATTTATTTATTTATTTATTTATTTATTTTTGCTTAAATAAGTCTGATTTTTTTTTCCCAGTTGCAACATAGAGTCTTAAAAGATATTATCTAAAATCCCACAACAGCCGCCTACTCTGCCATTCCACACTGTGCACCAGCGGTCCCAGACTGAGGTACTCCAGCACTCCTTCCCCACCCTCCCCCATCTCCAGACAGGGACCAGATGGGGCTCCTTGCTGGTTGCTGAAGCCCTGCAGGCCCTTTCTTATGCTCAAGGGATCCCAGCACCCCACCCCCACCCCCCGGCACACCTGCCCTTTCTCTGTTTAACCGAACACCACCCATCTTGCAGGGCGCAGTTCTGAAGTCTCCTTTTCTCCTTCCTGCCAGAACAAAGTATCCTCTGTTTCTGGTGGGACATTGCTCCCTCTTCATGGCACTTTCCATGTTCCTTTCATGTTTATAATACGAAGAAAAATTTGCTATTTAAATTGCCAACTGTCTTAGGGGCTCTGAGATGTTGCTTTTATTTTGTTCCTTGGTCTGGACTCTGGGTATGCAGGTGTGTTTTCTTTGTGCACATTTATCAAACGGTATGCTTCTCGTGTGTACACTCTGCCTGGATGTTGTCTATCAATAAAAGAGTTTATTTAAAGATAAAATATCAACTGCATCTAAAGTCCTGGTGGCAAAAGAAAGTCCTTTTCTCCTCTGGACACTATGAGACGTGTGGTTGTATAGCTTTGGGGTTAGGAGCTGGGTGACCGACTCACCCTAAAAGAGGAAGAGAAGCATTGGAGCTTCCCTGAGTGGTGAAGGGGTGTGGGGCAAAGAGATGGGGCTGGGGGGCAACCACACCCCCACAATGCCATTGCTACTCTGTGACTCTCCACTTGTGATGCCTTATCTAAGCTCACAAAATGCATGAGTGGATTTTTCTTCTGGACTGTGGTAAAGTGGCTTAGTTCCATGTGTCCACTGGCACAGAATGAAATGTTGTTAGCACACTTGATTCAGGAGCTGGTGGTAAAGAGCCTCAAGAGAGGGTGAACTCTAGAATTGGCATTCATCGCTGAGAGGACATGAGCCTTTATGGGGCCAAGAAATCGGGTGTTGAAGCAAGTTTAGCTACTACCAAAGGGGCCTGGATGTGGTACAGTTTTCTCAGTATGTCTTTTCTCCTTTATTGGTCTGTAAGTTTCTTGAGGCTGAAGGCAGCAACTAGGTACACAGATGGATGGATGGATGGATGATTGATGATAGATAGATGATAGATAGATAGATAGATAGATGTTATTCTTGTAACTGTCCTCTTTCCTCAGCATGAAGAAGGTGCTTGATAATTTTCTTTTTGTGTGAATTAACGGAAAATGGAAAGAGACGAGGGACTTGGGGTTTCCTGGATAACCAAGAATTCTCCTGCCTATATAAGGAGCCTAACAGTACATAAAGAATATAAATTTTTAGTTGAAGATCTGGGTTGGAATCTCAATTTTACCACTTCCAAAGTCATACAACTTTGGGCAAGTCACAATCCCTTTGAACTTCAGTTTCTTCAGTACAAAACAGGTGCATGAGGGAAAAAATACTTTTGTAAACTGTAAAGTGCTTTTCAGACTTCTTTGTTGGGAGGGTCATTTTGAGGACCTGCTTCCTAAGACGACAGAACTTACCTGAACAATGTGACCTCTCTGCTCCCAAATGCCACCCCCCCAACATGTTTGTTGCCTTCAGCTTAGTAGCTCTAACAGTCATCTAGAGTATAGAAATGCAAATGCTCATTGATTTAAATTCATGCCCAGCTGTAAGTGATACCTGACAGACTCTCATTCAGGAAGAGCAGGTTTTCTTTGGTAGGCAGATCCTGGGAATTTCAATGGGGTGGGGAGAGGATACAAGAGAAGGGACTAGGGCCTGCAGTGGCTTTATCTCAAACCCCATCAAGAAACAGCACTCATACCCACCTTGCTGCATTGTCACTGCTGGGAGCTATCATCACTTAGGTTCTTATCCTGTTAAAGTGGACAGATGTTATAGGGACTTTGGAAAGGCATAAAGCAAGAATGGAATGTGTCTTCTCAGAAGTAACACCTGAAGAAGGAGCTCCCCCTCCAAGCACCTCACAGTGGGGACGTGATGTTTGCCAGATGCACCCTCCCAGCATCCCTGCAGGGCTTACCCCATAGTAGCCCATTACAGTTATCCTGTAGATCAGGCCTTCTGACTTATCTATGGTTAAGAATTCTCTGGCAGTTTTATCCAAATGCAGATTCAAGTTCAGTAGGGTCGAGGTGGAGCCTGAGATCTGCATTTCCGACAAGCTCCCCCAGATGATGTTGACACTGTGGGCCATGGCCCACACTTTGAGGAGCAAGGCTATATAGATCCTTGTTGGATTAACAAATGAATGAATGAATAATAAATTAATTTATTAAATTTCCATTATGTATATCATCAGCTCCGGCTCTTTCATCTACTAAGAGACTCTTACCTGTCTGCCCCTCCCAGGAAATTGCAGCCTATTATTTACAGCCAGCTGTCTGACAGGAAGCCAGGGTCTATCTTCAGCCACAGGGCCCCATCTCTGCTTTGAGCAGCAGCTGCCTACCCTCAGCCCCCGTAACTCACCAGGTAGCATTTGATGTGAAGATGAAAGGACCAGCACACCTGGGTGTCTGCCCCACTCTTCAAGCTCCACTTCCTCGACATCAATCACTCCAACCCTCTCATGGATCCAAATTAAAAGCTGGGCTACCAAGTTCTTGCTGTAACAAATTCTGGTTCACAGCCCACCCCAAGGCTAGTTCTGTCCAGCCCCCAGAAAGGTGGTGGGGACAGCCAGATGGTCACTTCCCTCACTCAACCTCTGGGGACCAACTCAATGTCCAGCTGACTGTCATTCTCTTCCTGACCCCACAGGTGCTGCGTAGGAAATATCTGGCAATTGGAGATAGAGCACCCTGTGCATCTTCAGGGTGTGCCTAACAGCACACAGCCTGCCAGGTAGTCAGCCTCAGAGCAGCCTGCTGGCAGAAGTTCTGCTACAAATCCATACTGATAGGATAGGCTATATATTGAGTAGTATCAGATATAAAAAAGATCTTGGCCTCCTGTTTTTGTGGCTTCTTACTGCACAAGAGCCTTCATCAGAATGAATTACTGAGAATAAGAGTGCCTCCTCATCGCCAACATCAGCCAGATTTTCATCTTTTGAGTTCCTTCTGATGCACCCCTTTGGACATGGGGAGCACCCTTTCTCGGGAGGACTCTGGTTCCTTCTGAACACAACTGATGACCCTTGAGGACATTTGGGAGTCAGCACATTCAACCCAGATTTGTTGCACACCTAATAAATCCCAAGGACCATCCATACTGCTGAAGACCCAGTGGCCAACAAAACACAGAGGCCCCTGCTCTCCTAAAGCACAATTCTACTAGGTGAGGAGAGAAAACAAATAAGTTAATACATAATTAAAATATTTCCACATAGTGATGATGCTATAAAGTCAATTAAACAAGATGATGTGACACAAGGATTTCAAAGGGTCAAGGAACAGCTTCACGAAGAGGTGACATTTGCATTGGTACCTGAATAGTGAGAAGGAGCCAGCCACATGGAAACCCAGGGGCAAAACAGAGCATGTCACCAGCACAGAGTCCCAAAGGAGGGAAGACACTTTGAATGCTTCAGGAAGAGAGAGAAGGGCAGCATGGTTAGAGCATGGGAGAAAAGGAGGAGGTGGGTTCGAAGAGCCAGGGCAGATCATGTAGGACCTTGTAGTTTGCTCTAATGCAGTGAAAATCCCTAGAGGGATTTTGGGCAAGGGCAGACATGATGTGGCTTACATTTTATTTATTATTTTTTTTTTTTAAGTGACTTACATTTGAAAGAACACACTGGCTGTTACATGCAGAAAGGATGGAGGAGGAGGGGCACAAAGTCAAAGTGGGAACATGAAGACCAATGAGAAGGTCATTCGCCAGAGCTGATAGTGGCCTGGACTGAGGAAAGTGGCTAGATTTGGAAATTAGGACAAAGAACCTCATGGAAACCTCCACTGGCTGGCATCTTTATCACCTTACCCCTACAAACTCCTGCAAAGGTGCCTTAGTGCACAAGTCATCAGCTGTAGGCCCAAGCACCCTAGAAGCTGGAAGTTCTTCCCAGTCTCCAGGCACCATGAGACTGCCCCCTTCCATTTGAGCACAAAAAGTCTGACTCTGACCACAATCCACCTTTCTCCTGATGTCTGCTACTCAAAACAGGAACAACCAATCAATAAGCAACAAACTGCTTTATTAGTACTATTTTGTCTCAACCTTAAACTGCCTTAAAATTTGTTCTGACTGGGAATCTGCTATTTCCTAAAATGTGTTCATTCTAATTTTCCTAGGTCTGGACCCTCAGGGTGAAACTGCTGAGTGGAGAGCTGCTTGATCATCTTCATTCCTTCATTAGTCCATGTGATTCGAGGCCAGTGTTTGCTGACAGCACATCATCTCTATCCCCACTCTTCATGACTCTTAGGCTCAGCAACGTGTGGTCATTTATGGAGACCCAACCCCATTCCGAGCTTCTCTGGTGGGGCAGTAATTATGAAAGGTAGGAAAGTAGTTGGAGCGAACCTATAGCCATTGGCATTGCTAAAGTCCCTAAAAGTTTTTTTCTTGCTATTTTAGGATAAGGTCTGAGGGCTAGGGAGATAAAAAGCCATAAAGCAGTTGCTGTGGCATCCACACAAGGAAGAATGGACGTATTTAAAACTATGGAAACTTTATCTGAACTGTGGTTAAATCGCTTGAATGTTGATAAAAGAATTACTGAGGAAGATGGGATTTCCCAGAATTCTTGACAATTTTCCTCTATTTTATAGACTCTTACAACTGGGAGAAATGAACAAGCCAAGTTCTCTCATTTCAATGAAGAGGAAACAGAAGTCCAGCAAATGAAAAGGAACTTACCCCCAAATAAAACAAATTGGTGCTTATCTTTACCTAGTTTATTTCCAAAAGCAGAGCCCGGGACCAGGGCTTGCATACCAGTGGCACATTTTGGGAAATGATCCTAAGGAACAGGAGTAGAGCACTGGGAAAGGCAAAGTGGAGAAGGAGAGAAAGCCAGCTTCTGTCCCCCTCACGGTCAAGGGATTCCCTATGGGATATCCTGGACAGTGGGTATCAGAATGGCTGAGCAGGTGCCCCAGGCTGACCCAGGGCAGATGGGAGAGGTGCACAGTGCCACTGAGGTGAGCTTCATTGGTGTTTTTCCACCACCCCTGGCCATCACTGACCAATGAGGAGGCCGTGGCCACTGGACATGTGCAAAGGGTGAAAGGCAAGTTAGAATATGGAATTCAAATTCACAAGTATTAATGCTTACTATGAAATATTGCCTTTCAAATAGGACTGCCAGAATTCCAGATTACTGAAAGATAAGGTACACATTTAGCCATAAATACAAAAATCAGAATGGACTATATTGGCAGTGACTCACCTAGAATCTCAGACACCCAGTGTCTATTCATTTCCGTTCACTTCTTGGGCATGCTGCCCTTGGTTAGCACTTCAGATACCAGAATGGATAAATTTTTTCTCATCCCTTCCACTGGTTCACTCTGAGTAGGAGGCTGAGCTCCAAGTGAGCTATAGCAGAGTCAAATAGGAGTCCTCGAACTTTGTCTGCTCATAGCCCCTTTTGTTAGCATACAAGACTCTTCATCTGTCACCTCAGAAAAATCCAAACAGAATAAATGAGGATAATGAGACTGTCTTTGAGAAGTCACATGCCCTTCCCCCAAATGTGCACACTGTTATAATATCTTCACAAAATTCCTTTTTTAAATCTTCGTGAAATTCTTAAGCACTTTCAGAATTTGTCATCTTTAATTCATAGACGTATAATAGGAATATCTGTAAACATTTTAGCACTGGTAGTATCTTTTTATTTCACAGCTGATGGAGTCTTTGTTTTTGCCAACCAGAGGACACAGCTGATTGCACTAACATTCTCAATATTATTTGTCTCAAGGCCTAAAATAACAACAAACAGTTTAAGCCATTCTATCTTTGGCAGGCTTTGACCATGAGAAAGTTTCTTTCTGTTACTGATCCCAGCCCTACGACTTGCTTCTGCCTCTTGGGGCCACACGGAAAAAGTCTGGTCCTTTTCCCCTGTGGTAGCCATTTTCATGTCTGAAGACAATTGCCATGTTTCTTGTCATCCTACAGACTCACCTTCTGACAAAACAACAGCTTGCTTTGGTACACACTTCTCCCAGAAAGTGAACACTAGAATTATTTCAAAGAAACATAAGGTTTTATGGAGGTGACCTTAAATATGCTATAAATATGAATTCTGAGAGAAACTTCCTACATCCTTATTGCACCTCCCTATTCCAATGCCAGTGGAGATATGGGATGTCATTATGTTGACATTGCATGATAAAGTGTTTGAGCAGCTGGTTTATGGCTTGTGGTGCTTTACAATACAGTTTTGAATAATGTAGTTAATCCTAAAATGTTATTAAAACATCAGATTAGCCTCTGTGATAATACAAGGTGACCTGGTCAGCTGTGGTAGCACAAAATCCTGAATGCAAAAAAAGAAGGCTTACTACCACAACCATGCAAGGGGTCTGTATCAAACTCTTCTCTTTCTTCTAGGATGTGTCAAATTTACCTATTTATTTACTTACCTAGGCCTTGCCCAATTATTAGAAAAAGTTTTGTAGTCACTTACACAAATATATACATGCTTTCAATAATGTCAGTGAAAAGTGGGGACAAAGGAAAAATTAGAATAAGCCAAGGGGTGAATCAGTTCATACAATAAGAGTCAAAAGTCTATATGCAAATTTCTCAAATTTGGATCCTGTTATCTTGAGGTCAGAAAAAAAAGGGAACTGTAGTCATTTGGAAACGTCACAGGCATCCCTAAGAAAAAAATAGGAAGCCAAGGGATGAGAGGTTCCACACAGTGGCTCAAGTTTGGCAGTTTAGAAGCTTCCCAAGTCAGAGCATTATTTTCTGAAGCAAACTGTACTCTTATTTTCTAGGCATATGATGTTTCTATAGAGTTATAAAGCATGAAAAACAAAAGTACATATTACTTAGGGATATATATATATATTAATTAGAGTATAAAGATATAAAGACATGTGTGGGAATAACTACCAAATTAAAGAGGACAGTAACTTCCAGATGGGAGAGAGAGGGAGGATATCATGGAGACTTCAACTATGTCAATAGTATTTTATTTCTTATGTTGGATTATGGATATGTGGAAGTTACTTTTCTCTAGATCTAAAATATTTCAGTCTTTATTTTATTCTGACTGTTATGGAGACAAAAGTGAGGCAATAAGATCATTAAGGAGGTTATTAAAGTTGTTCAGGGGAGAGAGGAAGGTGAATTGGACTAAAATGATAGAGGGTGGTGACGTGTCATACTATGGGGATGACCTAGAGGGAATGGTTGGGGCTAGTATGGGGGAGAATATAATAGCCATTAGATCTCTTTGAATATATGAAGTGGGGGATGTTTGGTAGGCAAACAAGTAAAAATGTTGTGTAGATGGTTGAATATGTAAGTCTAAAACTCGGAAGATCTGCTCTGCTAATTAAACTCTGAGTCATCAACACATACATGTTTTTTTATACACCTGAGACTGTGGGAGACCACCCATCGAGTCTGGATAGAGAAGAGAGCCAAGTAAAGAGCCTTGGGCATCATAGCATTTCAAGATCTAGAACAGAAGCAGCAGCTAAATAAAGAGTCTGAGGAAGTGTGGGCAGTGGCACAGGGGGAAAAAAGAAGAATGTGTTATCTCAGAATCAGATGAAGTAGTGTTTCAAAGATGGGAAGGGTCAATTGGATCAGATGCCACTGGGAAGTCAGATGAGGACAGAAAATTGATCTTTTTTTTTTTTTAAAGATTTTATTTATTTATTTGAGAGAGAGAACACATGAGAGGGGGGAGGGTCAGAGAGAGAAGCAGACTCCCCGCCGAGCAGGGAGCCTGATATGGGACTCGATCCTGGGACTTCAGGATCAAGACCTGAGCCGAAGGTGGTCGCTTAACCAACTGAGCCACCCAGGTGCCCCAGAAAATTGATCTTAAGCTTTGTCAAGATGTAGGTCAAAGGCAACCTTAAAAAAAGCCCTATCGGTGTGGATTTAATGTGTTGTGCTGGGGTGAAAATGGGAGGCAGGAATTTGAAAGATTTGCTTATATTTAAATATTTTGATGAATTCAGCCATGACTGGGAACAGGGAAATGGGAAAGCTGGAAGTTGATACTAGATGAAGAGGGTCTTATTTAAGGTGGGAGATGTTGAAGTATGTATGTCTGAGATGACCTAGTTGAAAGGGAAAAAATGTTAATATAGGACAGAAAGGAGATAATGTGAGTAGAGAATCCTTGAGTTGAGGGGAGAGGGAACAAGGGGGTGAAATGCAGAGCTCAGACAGGACATGGTGCAAATCATCTATTATAAATTGGGGTACAAATGCAGGCAGAATGTCAGACAAAAGGTAGAAGGACAAGATCACTCTCCTTCTAATTAAGTTGTTTTTCTCTATGAAGTTGGAGTTGAGGTCTTAGCTGAGATTAAGGGGTGAGAGGATATTGGAGGCTTAAGGGTAGAAGAGAAGTAAAATAGCTGTTTGAGAGGGTAGAAGGATAAATTTATTGGGGGAGAATAGTAGGCATGTCTGAATGTGTTGAGTACCCATGTGAGATGTAAGGTCACAAATTTGAAGTGATTTAATGTCATTTTCCCCAGTATTATTCAGCTTCTTGGGTACAAACAGAGTAAGCAGAAAACTAAGGTTTAACAGGGTTATTTTTCCAGGAGTAATTATGAAGGGAGAGAGGAACAAAGAGTGTTTACAAGGAGACAGTTATACTGCATTGTCTGTGTAACCTAAAGGGAGTAGGGAGGGAAATAGACAGTGAAGGCAGAATAATGAGACAGAAGAAATGGCAATGGTGGTCAGATAGTGGGATATTTAAAATGGAGAATTAGGTACTGATTCATTTATTATGGATGGCAAAGTCTAGACTAGACAATGACCAGGTGAGTGATGGCTGGGGGGCAGTGAAGAAAGAATGGTGGCAAAAAAATCAACAAAATTCACAGCTACCTAAAAAGGCATTGATTACTTAACAAAAATAATAAAAATTAAGATTAAAGATAAAATGCCGAATGGTCTCAACATGGGAAGTTACTGCAGTGGGCGGGAAGGGAGATGGTAGAAAGACTAGAAAAATAAAAATGTGCCAGGGTCATGTTTTATTTGGAAAGGGGATATAAACACTTATTAACTTTAAGTACAGATAGAAAAAATGTGTTTACATGTATTTATCTAAAAGTTAAAGGTAACTGCTAGAAGACAAGAAATAGTATCTAAATTCTTACATCATTAAGAAGGAAAAGGATTAAAGAAAATGCAACCAATTCACTAAAAAGCAACATGAGGGGAACAAGAACATAAAATATGGTAAATATAAAACTAAAATAAGATGGCAGGAATAACTTTGCATTGGTGTAAATAACTGCAATAAATGCAAATGTGGAGGTGGGAGGGAAGACTTCTGAAATAGCTGAAGGACAAACTTGGAAAATCCTTTGACCAAAAAGAAGTAATAAAACTGAGCACAATTGTAATAAACAACCCTTTAATAATTCTGGAGATTGGCCAAAGCATACAACAAATTGGATGTGCTTATAAAAAGGGAGGAATCTATGACATTTTAGTTTTCAACAGTTCCCATTTCCCCCAGCTCCAGCTCTGTAGCCTAGGGGTTCTATTTGAATGGGACAGGCCACAAGACTGGCAGCTCTCCTGCTGAAAGGGATTGACATTACTTGCAACAGAAGGCAAAGACTTCCATGCCCAGGAAATACTTTTAATGTTAAATGTTTAAATGTTAAATAAGGGAATACTATCAACATTTTTATGCCAGCAAATTAGACAGCTTAGATGA